CAACAGGACCTCTGTTTTTCTCCAATGGTAACCATATCTTCGATATCGGGAACATTCCCGCTTTCCGTAAATAAATTGTCGAGCATGTCGCGAGGAGTTTCTAGAAACCTTGAGTATCGGATTATGTAGGTATAAAGAAGTGATGAAACAGCATTAAGAACTTACTATCCCAATTATTGTAGTAGTGACAAGTTCGTCGTGAAACCATGCTACGACACATCGCTGTCTGAAATGTCGAATGATTCATTTCGTTCGAAAAAGATTAATCGGAAGGCATCGAAACCGAGGGATATAGATATGAAGAACGAGTGGAAGACACACTCCTGAAGATGAGTGGCTTGAGGTCATGCTCAAACTTCAACACATCAAAATTGAATTCTATTCTACGAGAACTAACACCTAGGTGGTGTAGGAATTCGGACAATCTCTGCTATATCTATCACCTGAATACTTCCAGCAATGAGCGACGTTTCAAACATGTTCTCACCCGTCTCTGGTCAATATTTAGTCACCCGGTAGGGCCTTATGTCCATGATGTAAGACTGGATAGGCGACTTGAGTCAGCTTTATTCATTTGCCTCAACTTACCTAACCTGACCCTGATTCTAGCAATTTATTTCCGAGACAGTAAGCCATTACAGCCTAATGTGAGCCAGTGCTTAAAAGTAAAAGCACAATCTGACACATAATATAAAAAGCGTAAGTGTAAATGTAAAGTAAAAAGATGACGATGAACATCGATTGGACGTACCTTTATACGGCTATCTCGCTCCTTAGTAACCTTTTCATGAATGCAAAGCTGATCACGTGAACCGAGTACGGTCGTCCGAATACTGTATATAACAATAACTACAGCTTCAAAGAGTAACTTGAAGGAAATAAAAACGGCGCTTACTCTTTGTACATGGTCCTGTTTAACTCTCGAACAACCTGTGATAACTGACTGTGTGTACGAGAGCAGTAATAAATCCGGGGAAGGAATGACGAGAGGGTAGGAGCAGAGCCTGAACATTAAGTTATACGTAAGGTTATTCTGCTACAACTTAGCCTATCAGTGCAATGTATGAGATCGAGAAGACGCAGAAAAGCAACTGTGAACACTTATGTTACTGAAGTAATCCATTTAGAACAGCATTTTCTACAGTTACCTCAAACTTGACGAGTGCTCTCGTTGAATTCGCTAGGCTGTAGGAAAATACTGCTAAAAAATGCAAAATAGTCGCACATTTCTCCCGAGATTTTCTGGAAGCTTCCACGAAGTACTACGAAAGGCGCTAGTCACTTGTATGTGCATACACATCAGGATATTTCATGATATTGCGATCGCTACAACAGATTGAGCTCATATTCGACCTTCTTGTTCCAGGCTCTGAAGCGCTGGAACGAGTTGTGCGCTGAACCGCTTAAAATGGGCTTCGAGCTTGTGCCCAGGCACAAGTTACAATGAGGTACAGCAGTGGAGTGGGCGGACTTGAACTCATAAAGAAAAACATGTTGAAAGTTGGTGGATTATTTGGCAATTGAATAACTTAGTAAGCAAGGATACGCAAGGTAGTATGCTTATCTAGAAACCCCATGGAAACTTCCAGAAAACGCCGAAAGAGACAGATCTACAGCCAAAATTTCAGCAAATCCTTTCCCCACAACCTGCAGTCTGTTTTATGAAAATATTGATAATTGTGGAGTCGAAAAATGTGAACCTATTGTCACACGCCTATTCAAAACAGCCGCGAATTCATCGCGCACATTCGTACAATCTCTATCTAAATCCTATGACTTCTCATTTTAGTGGACGTGTTCACGAGCACAGCCAAGCGCGAAGGGTCCGATATCACCCAATGCGAAACCCGGTAACTACCAGTAACTACTAGTTCACAAACTGGAGCCAGAAAGTTACCTGAAGCGATTCGTGTCGCATCTTCAAATGACATTTGAAACATCATTTTCTGTTTCTGAAGCCATCCTAATGTCGAACAAAGTAAGGATAATGTCTTGCCTGTGCCTGTAGGAGACTCCAAAGCAGCATCAAACTTCTAAATGACTTACTTATTAATAAAAATGTAACTATTGGGAGAGTACATCGCTAAACATACCATATCGATTGCTTCGATTACTTTCTCCATATAGGCTAACTGACATTCATATGGAGGGAAGGGAAACATAACCTGCACTCCCCGGACATCGACAGTGACCATGATTATTGAAATAGTAATTAAAAGTTACTCTGAATGAAACATTTCTTGATTTGTATTCGAATACATACTCACTTCACTATATGTACAGCGAGAAGAGCTCAGTGAATCAAGTAAACCCAAACTGAAACAAACGTAATAAAACAAAAGTGTAACACCAGAGCAAAATTGAATTTTCGAAATCGCGCGCAATTTGTCGAAGGCGCGAGAATTTTTAGTTCAAATTTCAGAAACTATCGGCGAGCCTCACATTGGCCGAAAACACTGCTGGCTTACATTGAAAACTTACTTAAGCTTTAGGTATGATTGAAGACGTCAGTAGTTCCATCAGGAAACGCCTTTCCCACATACCGTTGGTGAAGTGAAGTTGGTTTAGCTCCGGTTGACAAATCGCTACCTTCTCGATGAGAAGAATGAGTCTTCTATTTCCTGGTCTGAGTAGCCCACCGCACCTGAGAGAGGATTCTTGAGATCCTGCAACACAGGTTTTCATGCTTCATGCCTTCAACGGCCGAGGTTACTACCGAGAGAACCATAGTTTCTAATGGATTCTTCCGGTCAACCAACTACGAGTCAATCAACATTCCTTGAAGCTGAGGAACTTACCCTCCTTACTGACATTTTCCTAGCTTGTCCTGAAACTCTTCTCCATTATGCAATGTCAAAGAGAAATCATCAGCGTGACCGCCAGCCGCCCCAAACTTTTCGGACTCTTCTTCCAGAACTTATACTATTCGGTATTCGAGAGAGTCACGTGTTTCTGTGGTCTCCAAAAGTCTTCCACTCATCTGGACCATTCTATGGCCATACTACGGTGAAACCAACTTTTGTTTGTGAGTTATCCTTGTGGAGGAATTCTCCGATTAGGGGTCTAGCGAGGTGTGGCTAGCCTTCTAAGAATGGCACCGCTGCTGCTCTACATCTCGAAAGAGGGGCCCCAACCAACAGGACATTTCGCTCGGCCGTGCTTTAATCTCCTTACCAGTGTCGAAGAAGGATCCTCTCATCAGCAGGGCATGGTGCACTTCCATCTGCCTCCCTCCGCTGTAGATGGTCACTTTCTGAGATCACCGTTCTTAAGAAGGTGCAGCAGAGTGTAACATCGTAGCTGTAGTCGCGCATAAGACCAGCCTTTTCTCTCGTTTCTGACTCCGATTCCTTTGCTTTTTTGAGGTCTATCTATGCCCCTCCGTTCATTGCCAACGTGACCAATCAAATCACCTGCTATAATCAGATAATATCTTTTTAAAACCGATATATCTAATACCATTGTCAAGACTCAAACAAAATTCTCAATTTTCGTAAGCTTAGAGGCCGGTCAGCGATGCGGAAGGCGACTCGCTCCACTCATAGTGGAGTAGGAACTGTCCATACCTGTTCACAAGGAAAAAGTGCAGGCGATAGTCTAATCGCTTACTTATGACCTCATACTTTGGGGCACAGATTCCTTGACGAGGTCTGAGAGAGAGTGAGAGAGAGAAATACTTGTCATTACAGCCAGACCGCGGAGAATAGCCCAGGCGCAATAGCCTTGTAAAAAACTGAAATGGTACTACCCATATCTTGGCGCGTTCATACTTATAGTGCCTACCCTTGCGGCGTGAGGTATGGATCAATCGATACGCATCACAATTAAGTAACACTTGCATCTCGTAGTACATACGTTCAGATAACTTCAAACGAAACCCATAAAATTACCGTAGACTATCAATATTTCCTTCAAAAGTCTATGGTACTGTACATAATTGAATTCAGGAACTCTGCTGTAAAAATTTCCGAGGAACCTAGGAGTGCAGAGTTTCTACGAAACAAGTCGAGAGGAGGAATTCTAACATACAGAGGATCTCCAAAAGGTATTAATTTTAATTTCTCACGGTAGCGGTCTGCAATTGCGTACCACAAGTGCATTCTCCAACATCCTTGTCACATATTCGACATCTACAAATATCCGTCTCATATACGACGCATCGAAAAAAGGGATGGATCAAGGACAAAGAGATATCGAGTGGTTTTGCTAATATCTAGCGGGAGTGATACATGCAAAAACACTCCGAAAATGGCTTCAATTCCCACAACAGTGGACGATTGCATTTTTTTGAACTCGTAGGCCGTTTAAACTGTTGAACTGCTCCCTATTCCGATAGGTATGATCATATAATGTCCTGATTACAGTAAAGGAAGGTAGTATCATTGATCATTACCACAGATAACATTCGTCGATCTTCAACATTTATTCAAAAGTAAAATAAATTGAATAAACACAAAAAAAGAAACATCTTCAACATGAGGGATAATCTAGAAGGCACTACTTGAGAGAGACGACAGAGAAACCGAAAATAATATACTACAAAACATAAAGCTTATTGGGTTAACTAGTATACAGGATGGCACGTCTAGGTTGGCAACTAAGTAGCTGCGTATTTTCTAAGTTCAAGTACTTCCGAGATCCACCTCAGAAAGTTGTCTTTCAAAGTGGTTTATGTTCATTTACAATGTACCTAGTAAGTAATTTTTTTTGTAAAAAATGTTACCCTCAAGTATACCCCTCAACTATTTTACCCTTGAATACGAGCAATTACTTAGATGCCAGCTCAATACGATTGGAAGTAACTACTACAAAACAGCTACATACCAAAACAAAAAGATCATCAGAATGTGCTCTCAAGCACTTACTACAAAACAGCTACACACCAAAACAAAAAGATCATCAGAATGTGCTCTCAAGCTCTTACTTCTAGAGTTGAGAATTTTGAGTTGAATACGGTGGAAATATATTGAGAGATGTAGAAAACTTGGAGAACCAATAGGCTCAAGGATATAGCAACGATATTGATTTTAGAGACGACAGCGAAACCGGACCTAAGAGACCGTAACGCGGCGTGTAGGATATGAAGAAATACCAAATTGTAACTAAATAGAGACAACAGCGGTACAGGGCACCTGGCTGACAACATTAGATTGAAAGGTCACACCTACAACACGAGAAACATATGGAGACAAAGGAATTATCGGTATATTCTAGCACAACACATCAAGCCAGTAAAGTAAGCCCAACGAAACAATGTTTCAGAAACCAAAATTACAAAACGAGACCTTAAAAAAACCTGATAGACCATGTGACGAGCCCTGCATGGGGGACGGTACGAACGTGCGTCCGAGGGTGCGCGCGGCAAATTGCGCGGCGAAGTTCGGGACGATTTGTACGACTGCGGCGTCAATTTTCAATGCACAAACTCGAAGTAGTGTAGTTCAGTAGGGCCAGATGATCCTCCTGATCCACTCTATTTCCAATTTGGGCCCGAATGATAGGCGCCAAAGTCGTTCAAATTATTACGAACTTCGCCGCGCAATTCGCCGCGCGCATCCTCGGACGCACGTTCGTACACATACCCGCCCTGCATAGGCTAAACTGACGCGAAGATGACTGAGACCGATCTTCACTCATCCACTTGTTTTTCCGAATTTTCAAACTTCACATTTGCTAGTTGAAGAATATCACGCAGTTGTCCGATGTTTTTCTTTACGATCGGCTGCTTAGGATCCAGATTGGCTGAGTTTACGTAATAAGTGCCTGAATAAATACATTTTACAGACGTTAGTGTAACGGATATGATAATTTGATAAGTGTAATAGACATTTGATCAGTCGAAAGAAATATCAACTTGCACATGAACGAAACGCGATGGTCTTGCAACGAACGATCGAGCGTTACGGTGGGTGTGTCAAGTAGGGAGTGCGGAATTTTCTCCCCGAAAACGGCATCGCGCACGCGGCACCGCGGCGTATCGCATGATTGCGATGGAAGATTGGAGCGCGCAATTCGTGAGGTAAAGAGTCCTTCAATTATTTGTATTGGCTCGCCGTTCTCTTCAATTCCAATGCGGTCTTGACCTCGCTAGGAAAGGAGGCATTCTAATCAATCAAGTCTAATAAGCATAAAACGAAAAAGAAACAGAAAGAACGATCAAACCTAATAAAGAAGAAGAAATCAACAAAAATATTGCGTCCTATGGATTGGCGGAGAGGCGGGGTGAGTACGATAATTGGGTGACATTTGCCGCATGCCGCAAGGGAGTATGCCGCAATCAGGGACAAGTTCCGTTACCCGTCAAGCAGGTGTATCGAGGTGGGGTAACGGAACTTCTCACCGATCGCGGCATTCTCCCTTGCGGCATGCGGCAAATGTCACTGCAACTACCGTACTCACCCCACCTCCTCGCCAATCGATATGACGCAATATTTTTCGTCTATTGCCCTCCTTTTTCATTAGTTTTGATCGCTTTTTCGCTTTCTTTTTCTTGTTTTTATGTTCTTTAGTTTTGAGTAATTAGAATTTTTCCTCCTTTATTAGCGACAATCAAGATCGCATTGGAACTGTAGGGAGTGGCCAGCCAATTCAAATAATTAAAGGACTCCCTACACCACAAATAGCGCGCTCCAATCTTCCACCGCGATCATGCGATACGCGGTGGGTGCGGCGTGCGCGACGCCGCTTTCGGGTGATGATCCCGGACCCATCGAGGTGTAAGGCATCAGTGGGTTACTGTCTCATAAACAGCCCTTTGGGCTTTCTAATCACATCACAACTTCTATATCTCTGCTCCCAATTGATAGAGCGCTCATGAGAGCGAGCTTCATTCTATTGAGAGTCCTGTTCAAGCAATAGTCTACAAAAGGCTAAAAACATCAGAACAAGACAAAATAATTAAAGGTCACATTTCATTCAGTGTAGGGTTCATACCCGTATGCTTATCATTTGAGCGTAAGTTCTTCTACCCGAACGGCGTCGATCGCGCGTCGGGAAGACTTAGATTTTCAGAATTACATCATTGGAAATGCAACGGCCGACCAATCAACAGCGGCGCTAGCTGGCCACGTGCTGACAACGTTGGACAAATTGCATTCAAGACTGCATGACTCGTGAGGGCGCGTGATCCATCTATGTCCTGTACTGTCAGCACGTGGCCAGCCAGCGCTGCCGCCGGTCGCCCTGTCAGACGTTGAACTCTAAAAGCAGTAAGCATAAAAGAAATAGTAGATTTACGTCATAGGCTAATTTTGATCCGAGACCTAGTTCCTGGAAAGTCCTTCAAAAAGCAATTTGATTTTTTATCAAGATGTTGTCATTGTAATGTTTACGAAACGGCGCCTATTTGGTAAGTTGTCATACATGCCGTTTCATTTACATGAAGGAGAATTTCTTACTACATAAATGTACACTCCCAGCTAGTGCTTCGAGAAGAACAGAAGGCTGTCAGGAAAAAGTTTACAACTCACCTGCATCGGAATTATTTTCCTGTTCTACACTTTCAGGTTCCAAATTGACTTCCATCGGTGTAACCGTTTCAACCATACGTCTATGCAAATCTACATAGAAGGAAATAAGATATTTGCTAGTGCTGTATGTGCTGTTTGGTCTGAATAATGAAATTCCGAGTGGAAATATTTTAACTAACCAATGTCCAGGTCTAGGTCTCCTTCCATATCTTCAGGCACAACATTTTCATATTCATTTCCTTCCGTTTTTACAACAACCTCTTGACCCTCGAGTGGTACTTCACACTCTTCGTAGTCCATGGTACAATCCGCACCCTGCTGGACGGCAGAACAGGAGGGGCCTGAAATTACAATACAGCATGGCATGAAAATAGCACTAAGTGAACTATATTAAATAGTAAATTTGAAACTTTGTCTCCCTCATGGAATGCCCCTGTTTGCTTCAAGAATAGCACAATTTCACAAATTTTCTAAATCAATAATAATATTTTTCTAAATATTACAAAATCTATAAACTTCTATATTCTAGTCTAATTCTATACAACTCATTACGAACACTTACAGATGACTTTTGACGATGACGGCTGCTGCGAACAACGGTGAACGACGGAATCGATAGAAGTTGTCTCCACAATCTCCTGAACGAATTTTTAATTATTCTCTGATTCTCCAAAAGTTCTCTCAAACATGAACAGCGCATAAATGGTTATTTTATTCCTGGTGGAACGACCGCAAGGTCTCAGCCGCCAAACTACGGTAATCCAATAGAACGGCCGTTTATACTAAACTTAATTGACCACCTGCGGCTATAAACCTACCAGCGACGAAACCGTAATCTACCTCCAGCTAAGTATTGTAACTACAGAACACATGTCTTTTTGTTACATTGACTGATTGAGGTCAGAATACGGTACGACACATGGTGGGAGTAATATAATCCTAGTTAAAAAGCCTGAATTTGAGCCTAAACGACATCAATAGGTTCGGGGTGAGCAGTACTGAAGTGCTTCTAGATCTTTCATATCTTCAATTTTACCAAGGGAAATAGGGGCTGCTAGCAAATGCCGACGCCATCGGCGAGTCAAAACTAGCGAGGTACGCAATCTGGCGCCTCTTAGTCGTTCCAAGACACCTCATATTCGAAAAATTTCAAAGCGTCCCGACACGATCATCCATCCGCGTGGCTAGTTAGCTTTGAGATGCGTATGGCAACAGCGGTCCGCCAATCAATACGCATCAAAGCAACATGGATCAACCCTTTAAGCCGTGGACATAATTTTAGTGAAACGATTCTCTAACTATAGAAAAGAAGCATGCTCTCTCTGCCTTCTTTAAAAACAAGTAAGTTGAAACAAATGGGTCGATTGGACCGCATCTACCAAATTCGGCACATACTAGAAAAAACTTATCATACTTGAATACTATTTATTCGGTAAAATGGAGAACTTTAGGGACACACCTGGTGAGAAACGTTCAGCATCGGAAATGAAGACGATGACCCATGTTGCAGACATTCGGGTGAAGGCGGAAAATTCGAGTACTGCTCATAGGACAGATGCATAGGATAGGGCGGTGTTTTTGGAGCATATGGTTCCAAATTGACTGGATGCCAATAGAGCGGATTAGACGGCCCCGAATGGTTCACTGGGATAAGATCGGATTTCTGAAAAGAGCCAGGAGCCGTACACATAGGGACTGCCTGGCAATAAACGGAATCTTGAAAAGGACTAATTGGAAGATATAATGGCATATTAGTCAAAGCGATGCTAACAGGCTCCTCAGGATGAAGCGAACTGGAATCTTCAACATTACTCGATGGAGGAAAACCGGAACTCTGAAAAACTTCAGTACAGAACTGAACGGCTAAAATACAAAAATCCTGGTTTTACTGGATTATCAGCAGCTCTAAACGACTACATATTTCAGCCTGAGTAGTATTTTACACAACAGTTCACTAAAAGTATGACAGGTAACGAATCAGCTATAGCCGAAAAGGTGAAACAGAGGAGTGTAGTCAACAACAAAAGCGTTTCGGACGAGTTTTCAAATTCAGCGGCTGCTATATCACATTTGGAGTAAGGTATATAGGCAGGACGATGTTCACATTGGAGGCAAACAATGCTTGACACTGAAACACAAAGTAGCCTGCCGACGGATGCAGATTAGTAGACACCACTCCGGCTACCACTTTATGCCCGAAACTATACTACCGTAAGGGGTATGTTTCTCCTTGTTTTGTTACCGTGCATTCTATAAAGAACAACATTAGATCCGTCAACGTCGGCCGCTCACTGCACTTCAGTCTTCTTCACTGCCCATGTATAGCTACTTTTATCTGAGGTGAAAAATGTGGCTGCTTAGCTGACTGCCTGACTGAGTGTGTTTTTTACGGAACCGGTATCTTCGGGTGGGGTGCAGTAGGAACGAAATGGTCGCGTCGCGGCGATAGAGACGCCGCGCGAATGTAGCAGAGTGCAGCAGCAAGTAAGAAAATCCCGAACAAAAGAACTAACAGTAGAATCATGCCACAAGTAGTAATCGCATAGCGATTGAGCTCTATGAAGAACGCTAGAACTATTATAACGAGGCAAATGGTCCGCGGCAGTCGCGTGCGGCGGATCGATTATACAAAACCTTTCCTTCTTACCGTCTTCTGGTATCTTCTACCCGAACACTGCGCCGCGCTCGCCGCACCCGCCAAGTATCGCAGAAGATTGGAGCGCGCAAGGCGGGCTGAGTACGGTACTTGTAGTTTGAAACCGCGGGACAACTAGAAAAGATTTGCCGCATGAAGCAAAGCGAACGTGGATGAAAGTTCCGTCACCCCCTCCCCCCTTCATGCCCATAGACGATGGGTATGGAACAGAAGCAATTCTAAGAGGTCAGTCTGTACACAGAGGATAACTCTTATGAACACTTTTCTTCCCAAAAATTCTAGATCACAGCGAACCAATCGCCGACTTATTTTCGCGCGTGATGCCCACTAAAAGCTTTCTCGCTCAAGCCTCTTACAGTTCGAAATAAAGAACTTATGCCAATATCTCAGTTCAGTTCATACATTGTGATATAGATGAACTATACAGAGAAATCCCGTTGTTGTTTTGAATAGATTGAATTACTGGTAAATACACCTCGTCAAGTGCGAGTGTAATAAAACTCGTCCATTTCATCCTATTCATTTTTTGCACATGATTTTAGTATTTCTATGATAGAAATTACGCTTTGTCACATCAGAAGAGAACACACTAACCATTACTTCTCTGATTGTTGGTTCTTCGAAGATAGGTGAGCAGGATTCGAATATGTCGTCGCTACACTGCGTTTGAGCATCCTGCTCAAGCTCAGGTCTACCATCACTGAAAGAAAATACATTAGGTGTTAGATGACTAATATTAATTAGTCTTAATTTGGAAAAGTAATGTCCTCACTCAGTTCCGCTTGCCGAATAGAATCCACCATAAGCGCTCATTGCATACGATGCATCAACCAAGACATTGTTCTTCGTCACTGGCACCTTCTTCTCTTTGGTTTTCCATGTTGCTCAAATGTGCGTGATTTGATGACCGTTGAGCAGATAACTTTTGCCAAAGTAAAAAAGAACCACAAGTAAACTATAACTGACCGTAACCACTACCGACTTCATCTCCCTGATTACTTGTCTGGTTGCCGCCAGCCTCGTTAGTGGCCTGCTCATCCTGTTCGACTTGTTCCGGATCTACTGGCAGTGCAGGCACAGGCTCTGCAGCAAGTGAGCGTTTCTCTAAAATACAGGCCT